ACCCCTGCGTGGTGGGGATCTCGGCCCCCCCCTCCCCCTCCACCGCCTCCGCCTCCTCCGCCGCCTGCGGGGGGGTTCGGGGCGATGCCGTTTCAGCCGCCGCCGTGGGGGTCGGCGCCGTTGGTCGGAAGGGGGGGTCGCGCGGGCGGGGGAGGCGGAAGAGGGGGGGGGGGTTACGACGGCTTTGGGGGAGGCTACGGCTACGGCCCGGCGCCCCTCGCGGCGGCGTTGCCAGGGGGGTTTCCCTCCGCCTTTGTCATCCCTGAGTTGCCGGGGATGGGGTGGGGGGCGTTTCTCCCGCCCCCCCAACCCGTCCAGCCTCAACCTCCTCTACCACCCCAAACCCAACCAAAGTCGAAAATGAAGCCATCCAAATCGCAACCGCCATTTCCTACTGCGAACAGCAGAGGGGGGCGGAACTACGCCAGGAAGGGGGCGCCGGAGCCCGTGGGCGGGATCTGCGGGGTTGATACGCCCCCTCGAAGCGCACCACCGCCATCCCCCCAGCAACCCCAGCAAGGGGATGGGCATTCTCGAAGTAAGGAGAAATCGAGAGGGCATCGTAGGCGGGGTGGGAAAGGGAGTCGCCCGTATCGCCCCACTCACGATATGACCCCACCATGTGAGAAATACCTCCAGACGGACCCCTTCAGCATGTATAAACACAACAAGAAAGCATTCGGGACGATCACGACGGCGACGGCGAATCCGGAGCAGACATCGTCCCAGTGAGGAAATAAAAAAGCAAACAAAGACGATTCATGGGCTAAATATATGCGTACATATATGTACGTATGTATATTGCGCTCTGCGGAAAAAAAAACATATTTGATGAACGTCAGGTGTGTTGTGATAGTGAATTGGATGTTTCTAACTCGTTGAAGAGGTGCTGAAAAAAAGGCCCATTATCTATTATTCGTTTCAACGTTCCCTGGTGAATTAAAGACTTCGTTTGTAAGAAAATGGGTTTTTTGTGCTTCGGTTTCCACACAATACGCCCAAACTGGGTAATCCTGCACAAAAAAAAAAGGCATGTCCCTATCCAATATATCCTTGCCGATGAACAGAATATCTGTCTTTTTGACAGAAAGAATTAAAATAGCGTCCGTTGCGGAGGCTATCCTAAAGCATCGTGCGCCGAAAGAAAAGCCACCATGGAGGAAGGTGCAGCCGCAACAAACGCTATATGTGGGGTCATCCTTTCCTTTTTTTTTATCCTCAATGTCAATGTGTTTGCTTTCGTGTTGATGGGTAAAACTACGCCTACGCTAATTATGTCTCACTCTTTTACGTATCAAAACAAAACCAAATAGAAAAAATTACATGTGATGCTGATTATTTCGCACGCATACGCACACACGTGCGCGAACGCACCGCGATTTATTTTTGTGTTTGTTTTACCTATATCCCGTATGTGCGTTATATATACTTATATACTTTCTGAATCATCGCAAAATTGAAGGATATATTTGTTTTCCCTTTAATAGTTTATCCGGTATCTATACACAGCCATAAATAAACTAACATAAACGCTATTCTATTAATTTACTTTTCGATTCTCGAAAAAATTATTTCCCCATCCTATTTGTGGGGTTCTAGGCTTTCTCTCACGCTAGAAAATAAACATAGAGAGCCTTATTTCAGTTTTTCCGCCATGCATATGTTGTATAGTAAACTGGAAGAAGTCCAGTGTTAGTAATATTTTATATCACAGTGTGTCTATGTAGCATCTTGAGTATTCGCACCATAATTTACGTGAAAGCGGAACTGTGCAAAGAGATACACAAACATAGTGTAATACTGATGCGTTCCGGATATTGCGTCGATCCTTTTTATCTTCTCCCCGACAGAGCTATATTGTATTTACTCTTAATGTGCTAACTTCCACGGCACATGTATGCGAACGTTGTTGAGAGGCGGCTGAAGGAAAGTATTACTTTCATTGTTCTGTAAGGGTGTCTAGATATATATATGTATCACGCACTTCACCGTTTTGACCTTTCTGCGCTATGCCGAGGTATCCTTCGATTTTTCTTAAGTTATTTTCTTCTATTCCTGTATATCCTTATGTAAATGTATGAAAATGGACTCCGGCTGTTTTGTTTACATTTCTTATAATACCGTTTGAGGGTGTATTCGTGTTCTTTGTGAATTTTAAACTAAAAGAAACTAATATCAAGACCCTGTGCTTTTTCAAAAATAGTAGTAATGTTTTTCTGCTCGGGTGCACACGTCCTTCAGTGTAAGGTACCTGCGCCTATGAGTGTTAAATGATATACGAGTGCCCTCTATATAATTGTTAACCCATGAAGTAATGGGTTCTTTGCTAACTCAGATAGAAATAATAGCAAAAAAAAAAGGAAGGTTCGATGTTATGCACTCGATGCAAAAGTGGAACGAAGAGTGCATGGGATTGGGATCGGGGTGGCCGCCATCGTTTGCTCCTTCCACTCTCTTCTCTTACCTTCCCTTTCCTCGGTATGACAATATCCAAGGTATGAGGAACCGCAGACTAATGCAGATGAGGTTCTTTAAACATATATATATGTCTAGTTCACACTTCTCTTTTGGTTGGTTGGTTAGTTGAGTGGAGGTGGTGAATCTTTTGCCTCCTAATTATTATCCTAGTAGTTTGGGTATATTTACTTCTTCGATAGGTACAGAAACAGTACTGTGAAGATCTCGATTTATTCTTGGTAATTCTGTTATCAATTTTATTTTTTCGTAAGACTTCGTACTTTACGTATGCATTGTGTCGGAAATAACTGCATCTATTCAGATAAATTTGTTTCATACTTCTTTTTGTGCGCATTTTATGACTTCCTTCAGTTTATGTTGCATTATCCTTATATGAACACTCGCACACGTAATATCGACCACAGTAGCTGGGGGAGAGAAATAGTGATACTTTCTCGCTCTATAGTTAATAATAATAATAAAGCTTGTCTAAGCTCATCCATGGTTTCAGGGGTATGTGCTGGTAAAATATATCAAATGAGACATGAGTTAGAATGAAAATGATGGTGAAATTTTGTAAAGGGACATGGAGATTTCTGTGATGAATTAAAAAGAAAGAAAGGATGTTTGGGAAGGATCGAACGATCAGAACATTTAAACATGGGAGAGACCAAGTCGTTTTTTCCCCCAAAGAATCCACGAAAATTAATGGACATCCATATACAGGACTAGAGAAAGGGTTCGCGATGTATATCTTACCGCCCTTATTTTCTAAATTGAATTTGAGTGTTTCCATCATGGTAATGAGTAATGATAATTATGATAATATGATAGAACAATTTAAACGCTTCATGTACTCTATCTTTCTGTCCTCATTTTTTGACGCTTTTATTGATTTCTGACGATTTGTTTGTATGACCTGGGTGCACGCAGGTATTTTGATGAAGCCGAATCATTGCTTTTACATACCTTCCTTTTTGTCCTAATTAATTTCTAGATAATATCCTATATAAAAAAATTAGCTTTTTTTTTTGAAGGCAAAACGCGCCAATGAACAAAACAATAACTAAATAAATAAACCTTTATAGTGCAATAAGATGAATCTTACATTGCAAAATGAGAAGGAAAAAAATAAAAAGGATTCCCCTGTTGGTGAAGTGGCAAGTCATTACGTATGTGGTGTTATAATCAACAACAAAAGTGTGAAACTACTGATATTGTGATCCTCTAGTTCATAACTTTCTCTGGAGGCTTTAAGCTTTCTTATATTCTAGAAGAATACATTTAGTCTTCTTTATTGTCTGTAGAGAAGTAGCTACAAGACCCAAGAAGGGGGTGAGGAAAGGGAGTGTGACATCACTGAGTGGGGCACCTCCTCCCTTTTCGTCATTTTTTCCTTTTTGGTTTAATAAGAAGAAACCCGTTTTATATCAGTACGATTACTATATTTATTGTTGTCATTATTATTATCATTATTATTATTACTATTATCCTGCTGTTGATAACGAAACCCAAACGTGACCGCGGATCTCACCTGTCGCGTTTGATTGAATGGCCTCGCCGCCGCTGCTGACGGCGACCTTCACCCTCCTCTACGCCGATCCCGCCTGCCCGGCCGAGCGGCCTTTCCTCCGCCCGCTCGACGGGGGCTTTGGAAGGGGGGAGACCTCCAACGCCCGCACGCGAGCGGCCTTCGCGTCGTCGGGAGGGGGGCTTTTCAACGCGCCCTCGCCGGAGGAGGCGGGGCCGCAGCCCGTCTGTGGCGGGGTCGCCCTCCCTGGAAGCGAACGGGAAGACGGGGAG